TATAGTTGTACAACTGCTCTCCTCCACATAGCTGATGATATCATAAAAGCCCAAGATGCAGGTAAATATACTATTTTGACCTTGCTCGATTTTAGTAGGGCATTCGACACGATTAATCATGACTTATTATTATCTATATTTAAATATATTGGCATGTCAAATAATGCCATAGCACTTATTAAATCATACTTATATTGCCGTGAGCAACTAGTTCAAATTGATGGTGTTAAGTCAAGGTCTGCAATTCTTCGCTGTGGAGTTCCGCAGGGTTCTATTTTGGGGCCATTGCTATTTTCAATTTATACATCAAATCTAATTAAATCACTTCGATATTGTAATATTCATTTGTATGCTGATGACACCCAAGCTCTACCACAGCTTTCTTCCTGATATGGTTCAAAATGCTTGCAACCAGATAAATAATGATCTTTCTAATTTTATTAAGGCTGCCTCGGATCATTGCTTAAATATTAACTGTGATAAATCAAACATTGTTATATTCGGCCCTAAAAATAAAAGACAACTTATATGTAATTCTGTAGATATAAAAGTTAATGATTTACCTCTTAAAATGGTTAATGAGGCAAAGAATTTAGGGGTCATATTAGATAGTGACTTAAGATTTGAAAAACATGTTAATCAACTTATTAAGCGAGCTTATTCAGTTCTAAAAATTATTTATGGAAACAGGAATGTTCTCCCAACAAATGTAAAAACACTGTTATGTGAGCAATTAGTGCTATCAAATTTTAACTTTGCTGATGTTTTATATGGCCCATTTCTAGCCAAACAATTTCAATATAAAATACAAAAGCTACAAAATTCATGTTTACGATTAATTTTTGGAATTCATAGAAGACAACATATTTCTCATAAATTACAAGAAATTGGCTGGTTGAATATGGACAATAGGAGAACTTTTCATATGGCAACTTTGTGTCACAAAATAATTTGTACAAAAATACCTGTATACTTACATAAGAAAATTACTTATCGAACTGATGTACATAATATTAATGTTAGGTCTAGGGGGCTTTTAACCCATTCTAATTTTCGATTAGAACTCTTTAGGCGTAGTTTTAGTTATCAAATAGGTTATGTTTATAATGATATTCCAGATCAGTTTAAAAAACTCAATGTCTCGCAGTTTAAGATTAATTTTAAGAAATATTTTTTGGATCGGTATTCAAATATATAGATTAGGATGTTAAGTGTGATTAGAGTTTCTTTATTAATACTCTTTGTTTATGTTCTCTTGTGTCTTAATTAAGGTTAAGTGGAAGAGCAGTTCATCGCTGATTTCGTGTCAACGAATGAACTGAACTTCGCCTTTTAATTTCAGATCTCTATGTAAATTACATTTGTATATATATATATATATATATATATATATATATATATATATATATATATATATATATATATATATATATATGTATTTATTTTGTTAAAATTATCTGAAATTAATAAAGTCGTTTATTATTATTATTATTATTATATTCATTTATAGGCAAGTTTGTGGTCAGAGACAGACGGGCTTCGAATCCTACTCCGGACCATGTGGATTTTAAATTAAATTGCATGGTTCGGTATAGGATTTGATGTATGCCGTATTAATGGCAATTCAATTGCTGTTGATATGACATGCAGATTATAAAATCGCCATGCATTACCGTCTCGATAATGTTGGGTGAGGTTTTCCGGGTTTTTCTCACCTGTAAGTCAAATGGCACCATCAATAATCTTTAAGTCGCCCTGGAGCGCCACGGCAAATAATAATATTATCCGTTAAAATTCACTCGTAAGGGGGTGAATTAGGGAGAATATTATTATTATGATTTTTTTGTGCTGGATTATAATTCTAGTAAAAATCTCAGGAATTTTAGAAACTAAAGTAAATATACAGCATTGGTTAAAGAAGAAATAACTAAATAAGTGTAAAACATTTAAGGGGGTGATTCCTCATAGAAAAAAAGATAGGATCTTTCATATAAAGAAACTTCATGGAGAATCCCTTGTTAAGATACAGCTCCTTAAAGGGGGTACATAAAATTTGTTTAACAATTTTTTTCACAACCACTAAACAAGTTACAATATTGAAGTTAACCTGACATTTTCTACTACCAAAAAGACACTTAGCCAGTAATTTATTTGGTTAACCCCATGGTTGTAAGGGGTGGAAAACGCAACCCCTAAAATTTCGTTCCAACGTAACTTTTTGTCTTATTTATTTACCATTTAAAAATTTATTTCCGATAACCTGTTCCATTCTAATCAAAAAATGTCTTTTGAATTTTTTGCCCAAAATAAACCAGTTCGCAGCAAAAAATTCTTTTATTTCATAGCAGATTATATTGCTAAAAAAACATTGTTTTTTATAAAAAGCTCTGTATAACTTGGCGATTAATTTTTAAGCATCAAATTTGTAAAATTCAAAATAAATTTCATTATTTATTTAAAATAACAAAGTAAGTAAAAATGTACTAAAAACAAGTGCAACGATTTAAAGGAGCATATTTTTCAATTTCTATATACATATTATTTTCTTTAATAATAGTTAAAAAAGTAAATTTATTACCTCCAAAGTTACTTTTCACAGTGTAATAATATAAGTACTTTTATATATTATCATACTGTATAGAATTTTTGTAGTTGTTATAGTTCTTTAAACTTGGATATAATTAGGTTAAGGAATGTATTTTATTATTTAATATTATATTTTATAATGTGTTGATTCGACACTTATTTCGACGACGTAACAATTGTGTAGGTTCGTTGAAATAAGTGATCGAAGAATAAAGGATTCAATAAATAACTTTCGTATAATCGAGTTGATTTTTATTTGCTATTAATAATACATGGTGACGTAAAACATCCAAAGACTAGTACCATCACAACAGAAGACACTATATAATTAGGTTCACATGTATATTAAAAATATGATCAGTACCAGTTGTAGGTAAATATCTTTTTTTAGCATCTTAATAAAAATCTAGTGACCTTTAAAATATACCTTATATAAATACACTTTATTCGCACCGCTTTTACTTAGCATCTAAGTGACACTTAAGAAGGCATAACCGTTAGCTTTCGAGCATGCTCGAAGCCGTTAGCACCGTTATTAAAGTTCTACTTATCAAGGCGTTAAAAATCACTTTACTAAGCCCAGAATTTTTTCAGCTTAAACCATTACTTAACCCTAAAATATTTAATTTTTATAATTTTGACTGTCATTGTGTCATTGATTTATTAGCACTAGTTTTACAAATCAGTCTATTATAAGTACTAATATGTCTTTGTAAAATTGCAATATACAAATTGAAAAAAATGGAAGATGACGTGCTTTGAAAATATTTGATCTCATTAATATTGGATACCACGAAGAATATAAAATAAATACTAGAAAGAATTACTTTTACACCGCGATTTAGATTGGCTGAAGAAACTTCTTAATTTCCTTAATTAAATTTAAGTAAATTTATAGTATCGTTATAATAAATATGTAGGTTCAAACTCAAATATTTTTATAGACAATAAAATTATAACCATTTGTAAAAAGAGTGGTTTGTTGTAAAATTAACATTAAACTCTTGGTAGTATACCTCATCCTCATCTATCAACGTTAGAATGATTTCTATATTTTTTTTTATATTAACTAATTGAATTAATAATGAGTTTACTCTCATTATGGCTGTACTTTGTGGTCCATTTTATTACTTCTTAGTTCATCTAATTTTTTTAAATAGCCCTCTTATACAGAAGGGCTGTTCTCTCTTCTGTGCCTATAACAATCATAACTTTCATTCAACATTCAAAATAAAATTCAAATTTGTAATTTTTTTTTTTTTTTTTTTTTCTAGAAAAATCTTGACGTTGCCAAATCAATCTGACAATTAAATGTTGCTTTTTAATCGGCTGGTGTGAATTAAACTATGATAAATAATACTTTAAATAATAGGTTTCACTTTACTAAGGGGAAATTTATTCTGAAGCGGTGCGAATGGCCCTTAACTATTTTTGTACAATCTTTCACCATTTTAGCTACTAGTGAACCTTTGCAATATAGGTACCTTATTATACAATTTTGTGCAATCGTTCAGTGTTTTCGATTCTAGTGAACCTTTGAGATATTTCTTATATACTCTTTATAACTACTTTTGTCCAATTGTTCAGTATTGTATTATAGCTACCTTATGGTATCACACGTTTGTAATTGTGTCACCTTGTGATATAGGTACCTATATTGTTAATATCTACCTCTACTTGTATGATATTGGTACTTGCTTTCAAAAGTTTTTTAATAATAAATTTATACAGTTTTTTGTTTTGTTTTATTCAGATTTTACTATATTTTCAGTATATACTATTTTAATATAGTGTGTCGAAGGATGGACTTTAAATTTTTCAAAAAAATTATTTTTTATAATTTCTTAACGTTAATCGTATTCATTTAACAATCAAAAGAAATTATGAAAATTACGTTTTTTAAAATTTTAAATAAATGTTTTTACAAGTATTGTTAGGTCCATCCGTGTATAATGCGCTTTCAGGGAAAGTACCGTAAAAGTGATAGTGTGATGTTTTCCGAACTACAATTTGTAACCTCTGTGAGATGTGCCATAAAAGTCTTGCCGTTGCGGACATTCGGCGGTTGCAGAGATATTAGGATTACATTAAAAATACATTGCATGTGAGCTTAAAGAGCCCAAAATTGTAGCTTATTAACGTATATGATGGGATATTTTTCTGCTAGCTGGGAAGCTCTCGTATATCTAAGGGGGTAGCGACATAGTTTTGCATCTTGTTTAACAATATAACAACTTTTGTGACGTATTATCCGTAAATTCGTTTTTTTCTGCACCAAGTTAGACTAGGTATTAATAATATAACCGTAACACTCTGTATAGGAGGATTATATAGAATAAGCCCTAATTAAATAGAAATAAAATGTAAAATTTTTTATGTAAACAGGGGACACTAAAAAACATTCATACAAACTTCTTAACTTTTAATTAATACTTTCAATAAAACATCGCAAGAATTTATTAAATAGCAACACAAATAATGATTCGTAATTATACTTTAAACATACGTCTTTACAATATTTATCACATTTTCAATAATGATAGTTTACTTAGTCAAAATTAAATTATTCCTACTTTTCAATCGACTCAGGCAAGGACTTTAATTACAATCAAATAACTTGATCTAAATCTAAAAGAAGCCATTTTTTATTATCACATTTTATTGCCGATAAAAATAAACTAAAGTTGCTGAAATAATCATTAATATTCTCTCTTTCATGACAATCACAAATACAATTATATAATTTTAAATGTTTAAAATATACATATATAAAATTGCTTATTCCTAAAACATTGGTAAATTTACATAAGGTTAATTATAAATTTACGAATACTATTATTATCACGAGTACGAAAAAAACGACAATTATTAATATAATAAATAACAGACTTCATTTTTTTCAGTGTGATTAACATTTATATCATCACGCTTTCGTGTGTAATTATATTAAAGAAACTTCCAACTGGATTTTCTTGTAATTAGGATTTATATATTTTTGAGAAATGCTCTATTGTTCTGATCTAAGTTTTCCCAATAATCTTCTATTTTTTGTACAAGTGATAATTCCTAAGCACATGGCTGCAACAACAATCCAAGCTCCAGCCTGATAGAACGACTGCGACCATGAATTTGATACATCGGAAATGTAACCTTAAAAATAAAATCAAATTTAAATATAACCATTAAAATTTGCAACCTTGTATGGGTGTATATACCAAATTAAAAATACAGGTCGTTCCGATTAAAATTATAAAATAACCTGATGTTATGCTACTGAAATATGATTTTCTTCATGTGGAATGGTTTTAGTTCATTGTTCCACTTATCTTTCAAAAAAAAAAAAATGTAATGTAGCATTTAAATACGACACCCTATAATAGGTATATAATTTTCGATATCTTAAATATATCAAAAAATGAATGTACACTGAATATGTTAAACATCTATAGGATATATTGAGTGGTTTCTTATGAACCTCTACTAAAGATACCCATTAGGTATTTTGCTGGATATCCATAGAATACCTTTTATATCCTGGATATAGACGAACATTTGGATATCTATATTATATCCCCTGGATATGTATATTATCCTGTGAATATATTGGATATCCACAAAAGATATTCTGTGGATATCTGTGAGATTTCGTGTGTTGTCTGGGAGATACCCATTAAATATTTTACTGGATATCCGTAGGATATCTTCTATATCCTGGATATAGACGGACATTTAGATATCCATATTAGATCCACACGATATCATAGATATCCTAAAGATATTCTGTAGATATCTCTGGGATTTGTTGTGTAGTCTGTACTTAATGTGCCTTCGGATTAGTGGTCGGATACTATTGATAGTTTCCGATAATCGCAAGATATCGATAGTACTATACATTTTATTTATAGTTTAAATCTTAAATACCTACCTATACATGTACCTATATCAACTTTTGCTATTATACACCGACACTCTAATGGCGGATATAACTATTGAAATATTATAGAAAGTCTCTAGACACTTTGAAACACACCATACATAACAATTTTAGGTCCGCTTACACTAAAAATTTTTTTTTTACCTTAAAATCATATCATATCATAAGACAAATGTAAAATAAACTATTTTCACTGATTTATTGTTGTAGAAACGGCTAAATATCAATATAAGACCATTTATAGAGCAATAAACCATACCAAATTTTTTCATAAACGATCAAATTTTCTTATTTCTCATTTTTAGTTTGTTAGAAAAACAAATAGACAGTAAATTATTTTCAATAACAATTGACGGTTCTAGTTTCTATAAATGCGGTGTTGCCAAATCTTGTAAGAAAACATATGTCAGGAAATAATTCGGTTAATGAAAGTTGGCTAAAAAATTACATAGTGTCTGGCCAACAGGTGAATTTGGATCTTAAAGTGAAAACATTTGTAGTAATCACAGACATCCGTCTTTTTATTTCATTTCATGCCGGTGGAGTCTATGCCGGTTGGCGTAGCCAGGTATGGGTGAAAATTTTCTGGTGGTGGCTTCTCCGCCACCCTACAAGAAATCGTTGCTTCGTCTTCTTATTGTATGTCAATATTGACGTCGAAGAGTACTCTGCCGATGAGGGTTAGGAAAAAGATGGGTATTTTTTAAATCGTTAGTTTTATATAATTTTTCTGATACTGAAGTCAATTGGTTGGCCTGGTACAACACAGGGCATAGATAAAAATGACCATTGCTATGTAATAATTGGTATGGCAACATTGTATTTCTTTGTGTCTAACATATCACTATGCAATCTAAATTGTCATTGAATTCATGAAAATTAGATCATTTTGACGAACTTTAACCTGATCGTAAATTAAGAAAATAAACTGTCTATGAAAAAATTTGGAATGGTTTATTACTTTATGGATGGTCTAGTATTATTATTTAGCAGTTTCTATAACAAGACATTAATCAAAATGATGTAGTTCAATTTTTTTCAACATCGAAATAAGAGGACATTTTAAAGTTTTAAGGTAAGAAAAAAGCGTTTGCAGGGCAAAAAAAGTATTTAGAAATGTGTTTCAGAGGGTCTAAAATGGTCTTAAAAATATAAAAAAAAAAAATCTGATGAGTCCAACACATGACTTTCCTATCTAGTTATTATAGGCTTTTTCCGGTTATTTTGTACAACCTATTGCAGCACCTATATAAATGTTTAGAGGATAAACTAAATATATACATTTTCCACATACATCTACCTCGAAACATTTTTCTATAGATATTCATTGAAAACGAAAATACGGAAAAATTTAAATTTAGCACGTTTCCTACAATTTTTCCATTACGGTCCATTTTAGAAAAATCATGTATAAAAAAAATTATAGAGGTCGATATCGCAAACAACTTTTAGTTCAACAATTTTCATAAAAATCAGAATTTTGCACATTTTGTCAAATTTCTCGAATACGGACCATTTCAGGAAATTTTGACGTAAAACAAAAATTATAGATAATAATATTAGAAGTAACTTTTATTTAAACAATTTTTTTCTCCAAACATAAATAACAGATATATTCCATAAAATATAAAAACGGCCTCTCATAAAGTACCCCCCCCCCCCCAGATGTTCGGACTTTGTCCAAAATCTAATCATTTTACGTCAGGCCGAAATAAAACTTAAGTTTAAAATTTAATGTTTTTTTTTATCCGTTTTTGAGTTTTCTTCAAATTTCGAAATTTACACATTTTCTCAAATATCTCGAATACGGTTTATTTTAGAGAAATTATGTATAATATAAAAATTATAGACAATTATATTACAAACAACTTTTATTTGAACAATTTTTATAAAAAAAATATGTTTTTACATTTTGTCAAATTTCTCGAATACGGACCATTTTAGGAAAATTTTGTATAGAACAAAAATTATAGATAATAATATAAGAAGTAACTTTTATTTGAAAAATTTTAAAGAATTTTAAATCTGGGGTTGGTTCAGATTTCTACAAATTTTACAAAAATTATGATTTGGATTAGAAATAATAAAATAGGCAATTAAAAAAAATAGATGTTTTGCTGTCTGCTTCAGCTATTTCTCTCTTTTTATTCTGGAGTTCTCTCCCCCTGTTTCCAGCTTGTCTATGCACTGACTCTGCTTTTTTATCCATACCTTCAGTATTCGACCTTACAATCTTCTAAATAAAATAATTTTGACCTTTTTGATTTCATTTACTTAATTTATTTGACTGTTCTTATGTTAACAATCTTAATCTTATAAATCTTCCTAGTTTTTCTAACTTTTTATTACCTAAAATCTAATATTTGTATTTTCTAAATCTTTTAAATCTCACTTATATTTTTATTTAAACAAATAACTAATCAAATATTCCAGTAATAACTTTTTTACTTTGTAAAATTACTAATTTTGACCTTTAAAAGACTTCATCACCCCACTATCGCTAAATAATGACACAATAGACTTGTCAACACAATTCACATACCTAGAAATTATTTCCATATCAATATAAAAAGTGATCCACAATGTTTCTAAAACAGGCAATGACCGAGCAAAACACAGATACGAGTTATGTCAGTACGCCCGGCTTTAAATTAAATTAAAACGGATACTTAAAAAGAAGAATTGTTTACTCCGACTTTTTTAAGACCTACTTTTGAAACATTTTTTGTGAATCACTTCTTATATTATTGTCATTACCAGCTAGAGGAGGTCCAATTAAATGCCCACTTCCTTCGCACAACAGAATCAGTCCATATCCCATTGTGAAGTCGTCCATACTGACGATTTCAGCTAGGAGAGACGGAGTCAATGAAAAGCAACTTGAAAAGAAGAATCCAAACGAAGCACTGCTGAACATTATTAGTATATAGTTGCTGGTAGAAAACATGATTGCCCAAACGCTTACGCCGCACAATGTTAATGAGATTGCGAATGTTTTAGCCACGTGCCATTTGTCCCCAATCCATCCAAGTAATACCTGAAACATAAATGTACATATTTAAATATTTTCTAATTTGGGGATCCACCATAATCCATTTCTTATATAAATAAGGAAAATAAGAATAATATATCTAGACAGTCGAATAATAAATTGTGCAAAAGGAACTCTCAAAATTTGATCCAATGTCCAAGAGTCATTTCCCATTATAAATATCTTTCTTCTATTGTATATAAGTAGTTAATACAATTTTTCCTATATTGAGATGATAGTATTCAATTCTGCAAATCATTTTATGTATCATTTTTATTCCAGTTGCTTGTTTGTCTATTTTAGATTTTCTCCGGAAAGAAATATTGTTCATTTAATTAATTTCTGGTTACGCTACTGTCTAAAACATAGATAGGGAATTAGTAGTTTGTGCAACAAGAGTGGATATGATGGCCATATCGCACGAAGACGAAATTTGAACACGACGCCACAGGCGTCAACTCGAGTTGAACAGTATATTTTTTCTACGACCCACTAACGAAAATTTACAAATAAAAAAATATTGTAGATTATTAAGACAAAACAACTCATTTTAAAATAATTTATGACGTTTAATAATTTTTATAATAAAATAAATGAAAAAAATGTTCATTTCATTTTTCTCCATCCGAGAATCGAACTCTTCTGTGTAGAAGGCCAGAACTCTGACCATAGGACCATCTATTCTTTTATTTTTGTTTCTTTAATACTTGTAATCATATCGCCCCCTTAGTGCAACAACTAGATAACTCGAAATTTATGCATTTTGAGTTATCCAGTTAAATCTGTCCTATTTTTCATGCTCTTTTGAATGCAACATTTGGATATCATGTACGAGCAACCAAACTTATTTAAAGATTGACTAAAAACAGATAACTCCCAATATATACATTTTATAACTAGACATCTTGAGATATCTAGTTGTAGCACTTGTATTGTTATCCGGCGGCACCTTCCTGGTCGCTATGATATAATATCTAGTTGTGTGCTTGAAACAACAAGTTTGTTTCTGTGCTGCTAAATTGTTTTTACGGTATTTGTTAAACAGTCTTAATACAAAACTGACGTAAAGGGGAAAGAATATTTTAGAAATTCTACGTAGCCAATTAGAAAATGATGCAGGTATGTCAAAATTTATTTAAATACATCCAAAAGAAGTATTACTATAATGTATACAACGATTGTACAGAAAAAAAAATTACCTTTCGTAAGTTCGTCAATGTACAGAAAGATATTTTGTGAAAAATATAACTTGGGTTTTTACCGTACATGTATGAGTTACAATATACCAAGTAGCATTAAAACAGAAATTATAGAAGCTAATTATCAAGCACATCTTGCTGCCAAAGATAGGACCCGGGAGGAAAAAAGGTCCGACAAGAAATTAGCTGAAACCTCCATCAAAAATATTTTATGTTGCACTTTTGATCTCCAACAAGTTCTCATGGTTCCTAAGGACCCGTCGAACAATGCCTTATTTTATAAACAGAGTTTGAAAGCGTTTAACTATACTATTTACAATGTTGTTTCTAAACAGGAGGACTGCTACATGTGGAGTGAAGTTGGAGGTAAACGTGGGAGTTGTGAAATTGCTAGTTGCCTTTATGGTTATTTCAAATCATTACCTGAAAATATTAAACACATTATTTGCAACAGTGATAGATGTGGAGGACAAAATCTCAACAAATATGTGGCAGATATGTGTTTAACTGTGATTCAGGAAATTCCACACTTGCAAACCATCGAATTAAAATTTCTTGTCATTGGTTATAGTGAGATAGAATGCGATTCAATGCATTCTGCTAAATCTACGGAACTAAAAAGAGTTGGGAAAGTAAATTGGCCTGAAGATTGGAAAACTATAGCACGCTCTACAAGAAGAAGAGGTGATAAACCCTATTTGGTTCACGATGTTAGACATAATCAAATTCTTGACTGGAAAACTTATGCAGGCCGAAAATAATTAATATTTAGAAAAGAAGATGAAAGCTTAGTTGGCAGAAAATATGCTGGTTAAACTTTTTAAAATCGACGCCATTTATTATAAATTTTATAGAAGATGTTGATGGGGAGTTTAGACGAATAAATTGTAAACGTAAAACACGTATGTCGTCTTCAAATAATACTCAAGAGCCTTTGTATCAAAGTCAACTACCACTTAAAAAAATATGACGACCTTATGTCTTTGTTCAAAATGAATCCTCTGGCCCTCCCTAGCAAGTATAAAGCATTTTTGAAAATCTTCCATTCCAAGGAAACCAACATAAACAGCCTCAAAACATGAAAGATTCCCAAACCGACATCATTGATATTGACACTGTGTCTCTCAGAAAACTGCAGAGCCTTTTGGCAAAGTTTGGTTTCCCAGTTTAATATTCAATAAAGATGTGCAAACTAAATTTGACGTTTTATTTTTCATAATTGACAACATCAAAAAATACATCGTAAGATACAGTGTCCTAAATAAAAATAAATAACTTAACAACTAATCTAACTGAAATCTTCTAACAGTGTTAATTAAGGGTGGAATCTTTTGGGTTTTATTTAAACTAATCTTGTTAATTTTTTATTCCAAATAAAGTTGTAGTTAGTGGTTATAAATAGATAACTACTCTTTTTTCAGCAACAACTAGATATCTCAAGTTTTTGATTAAATTCTGCAAATATATAAAACCTAATTATTTCCAAAATTAACAAATCATAATTTGATATGCAACATATCTGTATAGATATTAAATATTTTTGATTACTTAACAGGTGTATTTTTTTTGGGTTTTGAATTTTTAAAGTGGATTTTCTCAAAACTATAAATTTCAAGTTATCTAGTTGTTGCACTAAGGGTACGATATAGTTTTATATAAATTAACAAATTGTTTATAATTATAGACGAAATAAAAACAAAAATGCTATTATTTATCGATTCTACACAAGAATAACCCATTTTATTGTAGGTATGTTTAATCTCAATAACTTAAAAATATACTGACAAGTCGTTTGACAGAATTGTAACTTAACCTTGGATCCACACAACGTTCCAACTTCGTCAAATAGTGAATCAAGCACCTGAATAAAATGAAAAAAAAAAAATCACTCACAACGTCAATATCTAGAGTAAATGAAAAGGTGAAAAGGTCAAAGAAAAAAGTATGATCCTAAAGTTTGTTTTAAATGAATTAAAGGCAAAAAAATAGTATTATTTTCAGCATTAAATCAAATGGTATCCCATTTACTCCAAAATTTAACACTGTTGAACCAATGAAGGATTTTAGAAATATGTTCTAGTATAATTATTACATAAATTATCGTCCTTCTACACGATGTCAAAGGGGTGGCTTTAAGGAGAATTAAAGAAGCAGAGAGATGGGATGAGAATTTGTGATTACCGACGAGAGTCGGAATCTGATTGACTTTAAATTTGCGAATTCGGATATCAAAGCATATACTTTCGCTAGGGGTCCACATCCACACAACACATATATAGTGGGTATGCTTAAGAATTAAATTTAGAAAACGTATCTACTTAGTATAAGTTTTCTAAATATCATGCATAGGTACTCACCATTCCAATAATATTCATGAATCCAATAACTGATAAAGCTACTGCAGCTTGGTCCTCTTCATAACCATTAGCAATCATGTGGTCAGCTAAATAAAAGTATGGAATTAAAAACCACGTTCCAGCTATGAGAGTTGCTAAAGCCAATAGAAAAAAATGTAATTCCAAAAACAACGAAAAACTGGATACAGTCTTCATCAAAGCAGCAAAAGGACCATATGATTTCTGAAACATAAAATTAATGAAAAATATGGATTTAGTTTTCTACAAATAATTTTAGGATTTGTGTGTGTTTATAAATTATTTTGAGAGAATAATTAAATGAATTTAGGCCCTAAATAATTTAATTAATAATTTAAAGTTGAAGGTGGTAGCCATGTGTGAGTTATAAGTTCAAAAAGGTAAATCAAACGAGGGTGGTCCTTAGGATCTCACAAGAGTATTTTATTACGACCGGTTTCGAGGATCAGATCCTCATCATCAGGTAAGGTCTAAAAATAGAGAGGAAAAACGAATGAGCTCATAACTAATAAAGTGGGTTTAAACATTTTAATATGAAAGTTGTCAAATATCAAGAACTCACCCGTAATTACTCATCTATTTAAGACTAAGCTAAGAGAATTATCCCAGGGTCGGTATAAAAACAAGTATGCGAGTATTTTTTAAAATACATAAAAAATATAAAAAACAATAGTTGCAACAAAAAGTTGATGTCAAAACACATAAACAAAAGTAGGTCTAAAACTATTAATTAAAATTATTAAAATATTTCACGAACGGACGAACAATTAAGACAAACAAATTTAAAAACTTTTTTAAACCCTACAAGCACTAAAATGGGTTCTTGGACAAGTGTTTATAATTCTACAGGAATTAAATTTTATTTAGATTAAATATACTGATTAACGCCCTCAAGATATAAATAGACGAATTAACCATTCTAATATTTAAGATAACAGTTTAGAGGTTGTCAAATTTAAATATTTTGACCATCGGCTAATAGATGGCGTTGGCGAAAAAAATAAATGTTTCTTAATAATAATATAGGTTTATAAAATGAATTGTTTGAATTTGTACGTAATAAACAAAATGAAATAAATAAATTATTATTGTTAAAAGTAGAGTCTAGCATTAGCGTTGGAAAATAATTTTAGATGTACTAATAGTATTAGTACATACTAATAGTATAAAAAAATATTTATGATTTGTCCTTTTGTTTTGTAGTTTGGTTTCTACACAGAAAAAATTATCATCTACATTCAAGAAAAGCTTTACACATGGAAGATTACATTTGTTTAAAGTAAAGCAGAGTTTGCTTCAAATAATATTTCTCGATACAATGAGAAAATAAATGTTGAGTGAAGTATAGGCATAATCTTGTATTTTAAGAGTTATAATAATTAATCTAAGAATAAATTATTCCATTCAAGTATAGAATTGTGAATTAATCTAAGAAAGCTCTTACGTTTATTATAAGTATGATATGCTCTTAAAACCGACTATTGCGTACTTAATTCAATGTTATAAAAGGATTCGATTCAAAGCATTTAAATTTTAGGACAAGAATTAAACAATTCGAATCAAAAATCTATGTACTCCAGAAAAGATCAGCTAGTACAAATTCACTGCACGGTGTTGCCAGTTGAAACTTATTTTAAAATGCAACCATACTTATCATTCGGAAGTCAGAGACACAACGCATTTATAGAGATCTGGCAAATTGGCATTAGCACTTGTTCATCCTATTGTCCATTTTCTAACATGTTTACATCGTATTGTTAGGGTTGCGTTTTACTTTTTGTTAGAAATTCTTTGTTATTCAATTAACAAGTGTATTAATAAATTAAATTGAAATGGAACATTTGTTAAATGAATGGGGCCTCAGCGACCTGATACCAATATTTAAATGTAAGCATATTTAGTTCACTTCTTGTTAGGTATTATTATATATAAGTAAATTTATAATCATAGGAACACGAAACAAACTAGAATAGAAGTAAAAAAAATGTATGATGCTGGAAGACGACTTTTTGGAAAGACGACTTTTTGGAAAGACGACTTTTTGGAAAGACGACTTTTTGGAAAGACGACTTCTGCCTTGCTAAGACAAGAGGTCGTATCTACGAAAATTCTGATTTCAAGATTCTTACAAATTTAATAAGCTTACATTTTATTATAACACAGAATAATAAAGTCCTTTTTGCATTAGAAAATATTTACTATAATTATAAGAAAAGGTTAGTAAAATATGCAATACTTATTTGCGAAGTATAGAAGGACGTACTTATCTACCTACCCACATTTACTAAAAATATTCATTTTGTAGATACGACCTCTTATCTTAGTAGAACATACTTTTATGTTCCATTTAGGTTTTGAAGTTATATAATTATTTTTTTTTAATTATAGGTGGGACACCTCAGAGGACCGAGGAATTTGGTATATTAACTAAAGACAATTTTAAAAAATGTTTTTCGGTGAATAGGTACCAGTGAAAACCCTTTTAAAAAGCAAAAACAGCCTGATCTTATTTTAAGATTATTAATTTCTTCAATGAAACTATCCTATAATTCAACCAAAATCAATATATTTATGTTAAAGATCATATTATTATTGTAACAAATTTAGTTGTATTGGATTTAGGAACAAGGTATTATTGAATATAAATAAAGTATATTTAGAACAAGTGTAAGACTATTTCATTAACCCTAATAAAAATCAAGAACAGGCTGATATTATTTCAAGAATATTAATTTCTTCAATGAAACTATCCTATAATTCAACCAAAATCAATATAGTTATGTCAAAGATCATATTATTATTGTAACAAATTTAGTTGTATTGGATTTAAGGACAAGGTATTATTGAATATAAATAAAGTATATTTAAAACAAGTGTAAGACTATTTCATTTAAGATGTACATAATACTGCAAGTGAGCAATAGATACTCTTCATTTAATTAGAGGTACTTTGGTTAGGGCAAGTTGATTCTAATCTTGAAGCAAGGCTTATTAGCTATTGTTGAACAAGTATTACTAGAATTTCAAATCGAGACGAGTTTTACTTGCGGATATACAAACACAACAAAGCATTGAAATAAGACCATTCATCTTGAATATAGTACACCTTTTTTTCTGTGTAGTACTTACCTATTTGTTAAACAGTGTTAAATAAAATACTCTTAAAAATGTATTAAATATAATGACTTACTTTTTCATGTGATTTACTATTATCGGTTGTGTTTACATTTTCTATTGTAGAGTCATCTTCAGGTAATAATCTATTTAATTCCTTTAATTCGATATTTCCATTTTTCTGCATTTCTTTTTGATTCTTTTTCTTTTGTAACCTAAAATATAAATAATTTTATTACATTGTTTAGTACTTATCGTTTCAAAAAATTCTGAAATTATCATGTATGATTTATAAGTTTTAATATAATAGTAGTTTATAAATTAAAATCTATTTACTGATGATGATGATGATTTTAAATTATACAGAAGCGTCCAGTATTACACAATATTAACTATTACTTTTTTGATAATCTAGATTTAAAAAATGAATAAAAAATCTAATTATTTTTACATTCATGTTGTTTTGTTTTCCTATACAGGGATTTCCTATAGTTTATTTGAAAATGAATGACACCAAAAAATAAAATATTCTAAAATCTTTGGTTAATGGATAGCAGAGATAGAAGCTATACGAACTTTATGAGCAATAGAACAGAAGAGAATAAAAAAAAATATAAAGAGAGAAGAAATCTTGCAGTCAGGGTAATACGAAATGAAAAACGGAAATATTATGAGTATAAGATTGATGACTGTAGAAATAATATAACGGAATTGTGAAAAACACTAAAAACATTGGTTCCAAATAAAACCATAGATAGAGTTGAAGATATACCAGGTAATTTAAATTCATTCTACATTGAGAGTATTGATAAAATTATGAATAAAATTGATAAAACTGGTTCAAACTTCCCCATTAATATGAATCGCGGGAAAAGATCAGTAACCTTTCCAGATTTACTTTAATTGATTTTAGTGCGCTTAAAGAAATTATTTTCTCAATGCCCAATAAGAACAGTCCAGATGGTATAGGCATGAAATTTATAAAAAATACCTATGATAATATTGCTTAACCCTTGATAAATGTTATCAATACTTCTTTAGAATCTGGTAAGATTCCAGATGATATCAAGGTTTCCACCATTGTACGAGTTCCTAAAGTTGCAAAATCTATTAAAGCTTCTGATTTCAGACCAATCAATATGCTTAGCTGATTTAAAAAAATGTAGAAAAAGTACCGTCAAATGGGGCTACTTTGACACCAAGTGGCAACTTAGTAATTAAATATGGTAAGACACTACCAAAGAACTCCGGAAATCCGGAATCGCGGAAACTATTCGGGCGAAGATTAAACAAATGTGCTTCAGGCAATTGAAAATGGAATGCCTGTTAAAAGGGCGGCAACTGTTTACAAAATCCCATGAATAATTCTTCGAAATAATTCTCTTGGCAGACACCAACGGTCGGTAGGTCATCCAAGTGTTCTCACTGCCGGTGAAAAACAAGTGATTCGTGACACATAATGTCAAATGGCAAAATGGGGGTTTCCATTAACCAAGTGTGATATTCGTGCGATAGTCAAGAAATTCTTAGATAAACAGGACAAAATAGTGCGTATATTCAATGACAATTATCCTGGACCTGATTTTGTCGAAAAATTTGTTAAAAAAACAATCTTTCCACACGAATCGTAACAAATATTTAAAAATCGCGTTCTTCCGTAGATAGGACAGACCTAATTCAGTTTTTTGACATCAGAGAAGCTCTAGGTGACATCGACTACAATTATGATGAACCTACTATCGCCGATGATCCCGGTGCAAAGAAGGTCATTGATCCCAGAAACTTTCGTAAGGTAGAACCAGTACACAACTATTCTCGGTCCCGTGTCAGCATATTGGTCTGTGGTAATGCAGCTGGAGACCTCCTTCTGCCTAATGTTGTGTACAAAAGCGCCAATTTATATGAAAACTGGTATACTGGAGGACCCACTGGCACTGTTTATGGGAACAGCCCTTCCGGATGGTTCGACATGAACCTTCTCGAGCAATGTTTCTTTAAATACCTCTTACCCCACATAACAGCAATCAAGAAACCGTGAAGCATGAGCAGTTGTAGTTGGCGATAACGTGGCTAGCCATTTTTCACCACAGGTTATTAAAGTAGCCCTAGAATATACATGCGCCTTTTCCAGCCAATGCCACTCATTTAATGCAGTCATTGGATGTAGCTGTATTTGCACCCCTTAAGAGGAAGTGGCGCGAAATATTAGAAAAATGGCGAAGGGAGAGTAGATGTTCTGGGACTTTACCCAAAAAACACTTCCCCTTGTTACTTTCAACTGTGTGGAACAAAATTTCAGACACTGTAAAAGAACATTTAATATCTGGATTCAGAACGACAGGATTGTACCCAATAAATGTTAATGAAGTGTTAAGAAAGATTCCTGGAGGATTGCCTGAAAATGTGGAGGAAACTGCCAGAGTGCTCGATTCAACGTTGGTGGAGTTTTTCAAAGAAATGAGGGAAACAAGCGAAGACAAAAAAAAAGAAAAAAGGGGAAAGAAGTTCGTAGCTGGAAAGCAGATGACTGTTGAAGACAAGTCAATTCCCAGTGATGAAATCCAAAATGCAGCAGAATCTCAATCCCCCGCAACAAGCAGCGACGAAGAATTGCCTTATTTCTCTAAAAGCACTCCAGGGCCATCGGGAATACCATTGAAAGTGGTTACAAACAAAGCCAAGAAACCTAAATGTCGTCCCATTAACATAACAAGAGCAAGTTTGCGAGGTAAAAGCGATTTAAACGATAAATGTGCCATTTTCCTCACTCTTTTTAAAAACTACAGAGCAAGGGGTGACTGGATTGAATATCTGCAGTGCAAAAAGTGGATTTGTGGTATTTGCAATTCAGAAAGCACCGATCCATTTTATGTGTGTCTTGCTTACGAAGACTCACACGACGATCAGGATGAACCATTTTCCGATAAAAGCGAGGATGATAAAACCTTTAATCCTTAAATTGTGATTTATCCTTAGATTCCAAAGAATTTTTTTACTATTTTCAAACGTTTTTTACATATTTAAATGTTAAACGTAGGTAGGTTAGGAAAGAAATGTTTTCTTAGTTTTTTATCTTTAGTTTCTACATACTAACACGATACACATACTAACTGTATGCTGACTTTCAATTCAAAAAGAACTAAATTAATGTTTAAAATGCCGGTCTGCGCGGTGGAGATATTTCCGAATGCCACAAAATATAGGTAAATTCTTATCGAAGAAAGGATAAATTTACTTGTAGTTGCCCTATCCACTTTGAGGAAAGTAGTTGTGAGATTCCTCTTAAACATAGAAGCAAAAAAATAAAACTGAATTACACCAGGTGCGCGGGCTTCATTGGGCAAAAAAAATAAATCGGTATTTTAAAATTTTAGCAGATAAAACAGTAGTTTCCTGTCCAATACAACGGTTCTTTTGAAGTAATACCATGCATGAGCAGAACACGAACATATATAATAATAAGATAAATAAACAGAAAAATTGGTTTTGAGTATTTTCGAAGTAAACTTGACAAAAAATGTTTAAATTTACCAAATAAAAAGTAATTTTTTTTGGGTATTTACTTTTTATAAATAAATAATTTTTTTCTGCACATTTATTTTTATTTCACATATTAAGAAAAGAGATTGAAAGAGAACTACCACGCCCAAAAAGTACAAATTTGAGTAAAACTTGTATTTTTAGTCTATATTTTTTACTTATCTTGTGGCCAGGTTATGGATTTTGTCATAAAATACCTATAATTTATGAAAAAAATTAATATTTTTATTACTATTATTTACCTAAAACCTTAATATTTGTAACCGATATATTACAAAATAACCAATAAAGCTTAAGTAACTGCATACAATCTAAAATTGGTAAAATATCGAATTTTTAATGCTTATATTTCTATGTCCCACGTGACGTCACCGTCAGTCAGCTGCATGCGCAGGAACATACCGTTAGTCTGTGTATCCTGCATGCCAAAGGATTTTTGGTACCGTTTTTGACGTACAAACGTTTTTTTGTTTTATTTTTATATGTTAAACGTAGGCTGGGTCATTCCACAGGAATCGGGTAACTTCGTGTAACTGCAAAAAATTTGTTTACTATTCAACATATCTAAATTATGATGTACGCTAAGTTGTAGACAAAATTGATTATGTTTAAGAGCATGCATAACATTTTGCAATTTGAAAATTTTTTTTATCAAAAAGTCAGTCCCCTGGCGTGTATCACTGGAAAAAGTGAAGACTCAAATGCAAATTATTTTTAAACTACTAGATTTTGGCAATAAAAATGAAATTTGTTATGTTCTGAGATAGTTTATTAACAATAATTTATTTGTGTAATGTGATTTTCACGAAATTTTAATTACTTTTTTCTTATTTAAAGTCGTGTACCTCTACTTTGCGCGTTAGTCCCCTGGCTCATGTTAACTTTGAAAAATATCTGATATTATCCATTGTTGATAACTTAATTGTCAGTTTCATATTTATTTATCATATAAAGATGGCAGTGACGACCGATAATTATACATCAGCCATTTTTATTCAATGTTTATAGCTTTTCTTGTGTCAACAAACGGAATGCAAACACTCAATTTATCAGTCCCCTGGTAAGTAATAATTTATTAATAATTATTATTGACGTATGTTAATTTTACTGTCTTTTTATTGCTATATTTAATATTAAATCAAAGTAACATGGTATTTTGTTCCAATAAGCAGATTTTTTGAGTTTTATAGTAGAAACGTCAGTCCCTTGGCATCAGTCCCCTGGCAGTTTTTCATCTTAAAAACTGCCAGCGGACTGAGTACCAAACGTAATAGAGTCACTTTTAGTAAAACTGTTAATATTTGTGAAAAATAATTTATTTTATTCTTTGTTTTAATATTAAATTTATGACTTGTTTGAAAAAAGTTTATTTTAAGTTTAGAAAAAATGTAAGTACTTCTATTTAAATAAAAAATAAAAGCTGTAATAATTATAGATAATTAATATAAAAAATATGTATTGAGGTTATGTATAAAATATATTTTTCTAACTGTCTTGGATAATATTTAATAATTATTAATAAAAAATTTAAATGATTGATTAAAAAGTTAATTCTTAAATAAAATAATCGGTTTCCGTCAATCCCCTGCAGCTCACGTCAGTCCTCTGGAACCTACTTTTCGAAAAAGCTAGATTTTTTTTTTTTAAATACTAAGATACTTGAGTGTTGCTATACAAATACAGTAAAAGGAACTTATTTTTTATTGAAATTATAAAAAAAATTAAATCTGAGATAAAAATAGTACGCTTCAAATTCACCTCTAAAGTTACCCGATTCCTGTGGAATGACCCGGCTAAGACATGTTTCCTTGAGTTCCTTGTAAATACCTGTTTAAAGTGCCTTGAATAAACATATTTGGCAAATAAACTTGTTTTTCTTTGTAAAAAACAATTCTTAAATTTTGATGCCATATTTTTTAATTTTGCGTTTATCAACGGGGCTTTTTTGACACTGGGACGCTTTAAAATGCAGTTGTAGTTAAATTTGACTGGTATGTCAAAGTAGCCCCAAACACCGGGTAACTTTGACATACCCATTTTTATTTTATTTTTTTAAAGTTATTATTTTAAGAGCAATTTGGAATGCAGCAATGGTTACAGTAAGCCAGATTTATTAAAATCCCATTTATTTAACAACATTTGGTTAATAAATAATGGAGTAGTATTGAAAAATGTCCTTAAAGGATGTCAAAGTAGCTCCGTTTGACGGTAGTTCTGGATGTTTCCACACACCAGTTTACTATCATAAACAGCAATCTCCTTTCATGAACAAATCACATATAGCAAACTCCAACCTTAAATAATATCAAATACAGCAAACCCCAATGTATATAGCCAATTAAAAATATTATTCAAAATTCTACGGCGACTTTGACTGGAATTTACATAAAATAATTTATTTACACACTTAAAAGCCAAAACAGCAATTTTATGTAACGTCCTACCTAATATTTTTTAAATAGTTTTTGTTGTGTAGTGGAAAATTTAGAAATGTGGACTTGCTACATTTGATATAAGGCTTAAAAATTGTCATTATGAATACTCAAATAGATAATAAATAACAAAAAATTGGGTTCAGCAACTATAAAAATAATTATAACCAAAACTATTATTATTTGTAAAAGCAACATAATTTTGATTTCAGTATTTTTTACACTTAGCACTCAAAAAAGTATCAGAACCTCAAACTGTTCAAAAAAGTTATGACTTTCTTGTAAATACCTAAAAAATGTCTACTTTGTATTGATAGATAAATTAATTATATTTTACGAATGTTTTTGCATCATACCTATTAAATAATAAAAATAATTTTCTCTTTGTTTTATTCTCAAATTAATATTTTAATAATATTTGGTTTAAATATGTTCTATCTATAATTCTTAACAATGGTTAAATATTTAAAGTGATCGCTGTCAGGGCTTCCTATTTTTATATTTAGAAAATAAATTAATACACATAACCCAAAAACCAAACTACTTTTTTTTTCGACAAAATATAATATTTAAAAAGAACAAACCAGATAGATATTCACTCACTCTTCTTCTTTTACCCATTTAGGATCGATCATCAAAGCACCACAGACGCACATATTAGCTAAGCAACCACCAAGATTTAATACAGTTCCTCTCCATCCAAACTGATTTAGCAAAAATGTTGTAAACGGTGCAAAAATAATTGTTCCAAAACCTGTTCCACTCGCAGAAATACCTAGTGCTAAAGATCTTCTTTTTTCAAACCAGAATGCAACAGATACTACCACTGTGACGTAACATAATCCACGGGAGAATCCTCCTAATACACCATAAGTAAGATACATAAGACCAAGTGAGTTGACGTAGGAACTTAGAACGAAACCAAGTGCACACACCACTGAACCAATTATCGTCATTTTTTGACATCCATATTTGTCTACGAGTGCACTGCATATTGGACCTGCAAAAGTAATAAATTATTTACTTTACTTGTAAAGGGCATTTCATTGGTAAAGGGAAATATTTTAACCCTATATAGAGGTCACCCAAGGATCACAAAAATCCCATATAGCATGGGTCTTGCTACTTTTATAACCAAGTTACAGGGTGTTTTTTGAATTTGGCCATTCCTTCCGTGTTTTGAAATTTTTAATGTATTGATAAATTTTCCTATAGGTGTAGATTATCTATGCCAAATATCAAAATAATATACTGAGTGATTCAAAAGTTATGGAAGAAATGAACTAAATTCAAAAAACACCCTGTAACTCGGTTATAAAAATCGCAAGACCCATACTGTATGGCTTTTATTGTCATCCCCTGGGTAACCTCTATATGGGGTAAACATATTTTCTCTCCAAATGAAATACCCTGTATATAACATAGGTAACTTTTTGATTGTATAACGATTACATAATAAGGGACATTCTTGGACGAGACGTATGAGGAAATGGTAAGTCTACAAAGTTCAATTTATATACAAGATGTAACAGAAAGATAGGTAATAAATTAGATTCTCCTATATAACAATATCACGTATAATTACATAATTTTTTCGTAACTTCAGTTAATTTTAATTATTTAAACAATTTAATTAATTTATTACTGGACATGCCATCTATATACCTTATTAAATTCAATTTTACTGTAGGTATTATCGTGCGAAACATTTGTGATCAGTCTGGTCATGCTCTAATCCAATAATTCCCGTTCTGTCTTATTTTGAGCCTCATAAGGCCTCACTTGTCCGATTAACTAAAAATATTGAATTAAACAAGTCCCCTTTAAAAACCCACCTCTATTCCGCTGCCGTCGACCGATTGAGACATAGATTCCTAGGAGAAATACCAGGAAGCTCAGATGTCGATTTGTGCCATAAATATATAACCAAGACAGGATTATTTACATAATTTCTGAAGCCAGCACGGATTCACAATCTAAGCTTCCTTGACAGAAATTCAATATTCTGATTGAACATTACATTGAAGTTTACGGAGTTCTTAACAGTAGTAATACGAAATGTGAAATCTAACAACAGCGCAGTAAGAAAATTGATATTTGTAGTAGTAGTAAATCTGGTTTTTCATTCATTATTTTACAGATTTAACTCGGAAACTTATATATCACAGGTTCATCGCATAGGCGTAAATAAATTTAAATATCAAAAACGTAGTTATTTTTTTGGAATTTATAATTATGAAGTGGATAGTGAAATTTGGCTTTTTTGGGGCTAATTTTATAATAAAACCGTAAAGAATTTACTAAAGAAATATTTTATTTAAAATTCACGTTACAGTTTCTTTAAAATATCTCAAAAAACAACAGCAGCATATGCGTCTTTGCTAGCATCACAAAATAGATGTAATTCCCACGACTGCACTTGTTCAGCTACTTCGTATAAAAGCCAGCGAGGAACCTTCAGGTTCTTTAGACTATTTAAATTTTTCAAGCAATTAAAAAATATATCTCTATTATCTTCCGGAACTTCTGCATTCCAATATAGTTTTAAAATCCATGTTGCTGCTACAACAATTTTGTCCGAAGAAGAACAGGGTATGCGAATCCAATTGGATCAAAAATACTATTTGCAACAGACAAAATGTTTTTTTAATTTTTCCTGTTATTAAATGTTCAAATCCAGTAAAACACATTGCTAAAGTATCCAAAATTTCTCTTCCAAGTTTGACCAAGAACCTTTATCTTTTTGTAGTGTTGTAAACTCCCATAATCTTAAATCAAATTGAGCTTCTAACATTATTGCTCGCGCTTCGTTAATGAATTTCTGAAGATCGTCTTCACTGTCTAAACGCTATACAATTGTCAAAATAAAATCCTTTCAGTAATTTGGATATAGTGGAAATGGAGTAAGTCAATTTTTCAGAATGTACATCGTTTAGGGTCTGTTCCAAATGATAACTGATTACAGCTGCTAGCGGAAATGGGCTACTTGTAACTCCAAAAACTACTGTAGCATTGCGATAGGTTACGTGTTTTCCATTTTTGTTATACCAGAGAAATCGTAAAACATTTCTATCTTACTCAAATAAACTTATCTGAAGAAAAGCTTTACGAATGTATGCTATTACTTCAATTTTTCCCATTCTAATGCGAAGTAAAATCGATGGAATTAATACCCTTTTCAAGATATTGGTTTAATGAGGGATTATTTCCTTCTTTGGCAGAAACATCAAATACTGGACGTAGTTTTGTTGTGGCACTAGATAACTTTACTACATGTCTATGAGGTAAGTAATGGCTTTCAACATCTACCTCAGATTCTAAAATTTGTTCAATTATGTTTTTATCTAGCCATTCTTCAAAAACTTTATTAAATTCTTCGTAATAACCATCTTTTTCTAGTTTTTTTATCAAATTATCTAACCTTTCTTTAAAAATTTCATAATTACTTGGAAGTAGAGCATGATTGTCAATCCAGGGCAATCTTACTCTGTATCGTCCATCTTCTTCTCTAGTAACTGTTTTTACAAAGTAATCTTGAATCGCTCTTTCCTTTTCTTCCTTCGTACTTTCTGTAGCAGTATCCGAAATTCCCAAAATTTCTAGATTCCAAAAATCACTTACTGAAAAAAATTCGAAAGGAGAAAGTAGTAGCTAACATGGATACGAAATATCGATCACCAACTTGATTAGTTTTACCTATTATAGTCCAGCTAAATGACGTTTCAAGAATTGCTAAAGTGCATTTTAGTACATTTCGTTTCCCAGAGAAAATTTTATCAGCTATATCAGCCCCTATGAAAATATCGATAGGACCATTGCTGGTATCTGTAATTTGAATATTCATTTCTCCGAGTTCTGTTAACCAAGGACCCTCTGGTAAACATTCTATGTTGCTACGTATTAATGGTTGATCTAAAGTTTCAAATATACATTCATATTATCTAGGCTTTTTAGGTTAATAATATGTTTTACGGCCTCTGACTTATAAATACCAAACAGTAAATAAATCAATTCTTCCTCTCTTATTGGTTCATATCCCATGTCTAATGCCGTGTGTCTATAATAGCTCTCGCAAGTCTTACGTTTTTTTTTGTTCTTTATTTGCACTAACAATGTTTGAAGAAAAACTTGTTGGTAAGATGCTTGATTTGACAAATTTTCGACTTGAAAGGGTTTAACAGGCAAAACATTTTTATTATTTTTATTTTTGAAGTACATAACTAAAGAATGTTTACCATTGCAATTATCACACTTTAATTTTGTGATGCTACGATATTTACAAGAAATGTGGCCAAATTTCAAACACAGATGACAGCATTATTTCTGTGAAAACACCTTCTTTTTTTCAACGTGCGATAATTTTGACGCTTCAGTATAATTAATGCTTCAATGTTCAAGTTTGCAGAAAACGCATTTTGGATTACTTTGATTAACTAAACAAGTAGCTGTTGGCTTATTTTTGGAAGTCGAGAAATCTAAAATATCTTTCTTTTTCATCTTTTGTAAATCAAAACCAGATGCAGCTAGGCTTATTCTTTCTTCTCCTTCTACTTCTTTTTTCAAAAACAGCATCAATTTGTCTAAACGACTTTTTATATTTGAATCTAAAGATAATTCCAAATTTCTTTACCAAGCACGTAAAATTTCTTCCGGCAAACAGGACTCTACTAATGGGTATAACATTTATCTGATGTTACATCAAGTGTTTCTAGATATCTCAATTGGGATTCTAATTTGTCATATTGGCTTATTTTAAATTTTCCGTTCAAATTTTCCAGCACTAGTTTTAATAATTCGCGAACGTAAACTTTAATTAACAGATCATCTCTTCCAAAACGAGATTCCAAATTTTCGACTACCCTACTATAATTCTCACTAGTTGGGTAACTTTCAACTAACGATTTAGCTCGAGATTTTGGAACTGTTGACTGAATCAAGTATTGAAATGTATCTTTATTGTCTGGTAATTCATCTTCATGTATTCTTTTGAACTAGTTCCACCGCTCCAAAAAGGTAACCAATCGGTAATTTCTCCTCCAAACTTTTTTAGTTTAATAACTGGGAGTTTCATTCTATGTTTAAAAAAACTAGATTGGCTAACTGTACTATTTCTTTCAGCAAAATCTTTAGTTACCAGATGTTCAACCCTAATTTTTAAGTTTTGAAATTTGCTTGTCAAATAATCAGCATTTTTCATCTGGTCATCAATCTCTTCATCGGCAAAATCGTTATCGAACACGAATTCTACAGCATCTTTGAGAATTTTGGTAAAACTTTCATTTTTATTATCAAGGACTCTAATATTAGCTCGTATCTCAAAAATATCCTGACCGTCTCATAGTAGATTAATCGTTTCATCCAATATTCGTTCGAAGCAGTGTTACCAGATCTACTGATTTTTCAGTAAATCTACTGATTTCACACATCGTCTACTGATCTCCTGATTTGCCATACTAATCTACTGATTTTATATATTTTTTTAATTCGTTAAAATACCTATTTTTTTGTGTTTAATCTGAAAAATTAATCACATAGGAAACAATGCAAAGCTATTACGTTTTGTTTGTTTTTTGGCCACTGTCTCGCGGCATATACAGAACTATGTCTGTCGCTGACTACAATTTCCGACACATTCCTTTTAACCAATCATCAACGTGTATTCTCCTATCCTGTCAAAAATACCGGTTGATGATTGGTTAAAGAAAAATGTAGTCAGCGACAGACATCGTTCTGTATATTCCGTGTCTGGCTGAGGTAGAGTATTCAGTATTCGCCTTTTACAGTAGGGTTTTCCCCGGATTTAAATATACTAGTAATATAATATCCAGTGATAGATGCATAGACCTTTTATGATAGATGTGAGGTGAGAAGGTGAATGTGTCTATTAGTAGTAGAAATATTGTGCGTTTGTTTTTATACATATGTATTTGTTCCAGAATCCTTTGTTTTTATTAAAAATAACTAATAAGGTATGTTTTTGGAGTAGTGTAATTAATTATT